AAATTATAGCTAAATTGTGTTAATTGCAAAATAATTTTTTCTACCAGTGAACTTTTTAATTCTTAATATTAAATACATTAAATCAAAATTCTGATAAAGTATATAGCTAGAGATATATGTAATTGCGTTTTCATTACATTATAACTTGTTAATTTAGCTCGCTTAGCCTAGTTAGCGAATAAGGCGAGTGCATGCAAATGGATAAATATACGATGCTTCAAATTCGTCAATCGCATTTGCGAAAAGAATGAAGTGTCCCGAAAAGCCGGAATGGTAAAGTTGAATAATCGCGAAGTTTTTTCCTTTAATCTACCCAATGTGGTTTCTCTCCTGCCTCTCGTTCCTTTAAAACTTCGTGCTCCTTTCAACGAAGAATGGAGTGAGTGGTTCCGACTATTTAATAAAATCTTTCATGGATTTGTGTGTGTGTGTATGTGTGTGTGTGTGTGTGTGTGCGGCGTTGCTGTGCTACGGATCAAAAACTTGGAATTTCTCCGTGTTGACAATTTTTTGAGAATTGCTTTCTCGTAGTTTTCCATCAGGAACAAACTACTACTTTAAGAGAGATTGAACCGTATACCGAATCTTCTAACAAGAACCTTTCTGTCTAAGTGGTTCGCGACTTTTCAAAAGTTTCGCGTATAATGAAAATAAAATTTTGAGATTTTTCTCCGAGCTGTATAACGCTAAGAATTCAATTCTTAAAGTTATGCAAATATTATGATTCTGAAACATAAATTGTTAGTAAAGTATTTCTGAACAATATATATTATCAGTTTAATTCTTGACGAATGTCGAGTTAAAATATATATACAATTACTGATATACTACAAAATACTGATTATTTTAAAAGATTAAAAATTATCTACTATTAAAACGTTTTATTGCAATCAAAAGTTTTTAATAAATAAAAATCGACCGATATGTAAGTAACACAAGTATAAGTAAAAAAGAACTAATTTAATAAAAGCGGATCTTAATTAATAATATTTTATCAAAAGTTTTTTTACCCGCATATACCCGAAATTTGAAAAAAAAAAGCTACTGCGAGTGATGATATATTCGGTAGCGAATTTTCCGTTAGAAAATCACTTATGAGTAGCCGCGATGTAACAATGTAACCGTCAACATCATGATTCCTTATCGACATACGGGCTTTCTGTTTGCCAATTGCATCACGTTTCCTAAGTTCGTCATCGAGAGAGAACGCGGGTATTATAGTGATCGCGATTTGAAATAGCGGATCTCTCTCTGACCAAGTTGACGTTAGAGAGAGGATTAGTAATTAAGTTAATTGAGTTATTAATTGGAACACAAGCATAATTGTTCCTGCAAGATATTGAGAATTGCTTCATAAAACGGAATTGTATTGTATGCTACAATAAGTCTTCTACGTTTGATAAAATATTCATTTTACATTTGCGGACAAAAACGATTATCCAGTTCCAATGTCTCATATTAAATGCTTGCGATTAAACAGCATTCGATTTATTATTTGTGACTAGTGATTTATATTCACAAAAGCGCAAGAGCACCAGCTGAACGAAAATATGAGGCGCGATATTAATTCTGAGCAATTACCTCTCACTTTTCGTGACCAATGAAAATCTGATTTAATCTGGTTTCCATGTAAATGCGTATTACTTGCGCATTATGCACGAGCAAATTGTTCATTTGACCGTAAATAAAATTTTCATCTTTCTCATTCATCATATGCTACATTTACTGATATATTCCTTTCAACAATAATACAACTTGCAATAGTTACGTGTGCGTGTCTGTTTGTATTTTACAACCCCTAAAATATTAACGTTATTTTATTGGTTTTTTTTTTATTAAAATCATATCGAATATCAATTAAATTTACATTATATTATTATCATTTTTCCACTATCTTCTTTATAATTCTATTACGAATATATATATATGTATACGTCACTGCGTTGATGAAAAAAAATAATACAAATAAAAAGTTAGTATTTTTTTAGGTAATGAAAGAAAATCGATCTTAAAGACCAATATATTTTTGTTAAAAGTTTAAAAACAAGATATTTGTAGCTTTTTTGCTTGTATGAAAAAGTTTTATGATTCTGATAAGGGATGATATTTAAGCAATACTAGAATTGCAATGTTCGAATTGTGTTGAAAACTCCTGACGCAGTTTTAATCTTTAAGTGGCCATAGCACCTCAGGTATAGTCTTCATTAAAACCTTGTTCTGGAAAAAAGAAAATAAAAAGTATTGTCCAGATGTCCAGAAGTTTTATGGCTTCTGAGTACTCGCCATATTGGATCGTGACGTCATAAGCAAGAAATTCTGCATTTCATTAGGGGTGTAAGTATATATAATGTAAATTTTTAATTATAACATAAACATACTATTAAAAAATATAACTATGAAATTAAAATTTTTTGGGAGCGTTCTGAATAGTCTACTTACTAATCTACTTAAGACTTACCTAAAGATTAAGGAATACATTCTAATTAAAAGTGTAACATGAAAAGGAAGTAAAATTATAAAAATTGCATATTCACTATCCTAATTGAAACGTAGTTCCAATTTAAAATATTAAAAATGTTCTATTGAAAAATTGCTAATTTCGACATGTATCATTTTTCTATTAAGGTATTGATATATTGAATTTTCTATTTGGCACTTATATATATATATGGCGCAAATGAATGAAATATAAAATGATCCTCTTTTAATCTTTTCTTGAAAATTCATGATATTGATCCGATATTGAGTCGATTTTTCCATATTATTTCTTTTCGAGAGAGAAAGAAGAGATCGAGAGAGAGAGAGAGAGAGAGAGAGAGAGAGAGAGAGAGATATGGAAGGCACATATCTATCTCCATAGTCAAAGCTCGAGTGACGCACGAATCGCCTAGAAGATCGCTGGTGTAGTGTTGTTCCTGTCGCCAGTTGATGCTGCTGTTGGGGCGAATGATATAATGCCGGCACGTCACGTCGGAAACTGGGTTCTATCGATTTCGTATCAGTTCCTGGCATCTCTTGCGGGATATACACACAACTGTGCGAATTTGCACGTACGTACGCGCGCTCGCACGCATCGCCACAAGTATGTAGCTATCATACCTACATATTCATATATGAGAGTACACACTACATACTGTACATATATCTACACAC